GTGTCAATTGCTATGCGGCCCTTATATGGCGAACGAATCGCGGGATAAATTTATTCCTCAGTTAGGTTAATTATTCGCCGAATAAACTTTAACAGACTATTGTACAACGCCATTTCGACTTATCCGTCGAGTTAGTACTTATTCGTGGCTTATCTGACTATTGAAAAACCGGCCCTTAAAGAATTAATTATAGTTGAAAAAAAGACGTGCCCATAGAAGCTCAGCGCCTAAACTGATTAAGGGCCGGTTGCTCAATGTCTGGTTAACACTAATCTCCGGTTAAACATAGTTATCGACTCCCTGTTGTATACATGGAGTCAAAGACGCCGATAACGATTTTTAACCGCAGATTAACGTTATACCTTGGTTATAATGCACGGGGCGAATCGTAACAAATCTCGGCGAATTCGTAAGGATCTATTGATTTTAGATGCTTCCGTTTTACATTGCGTTCAAGTGCATAATAACCGTTTGAATTCATTTCCCATACAATAGATAATTAAGTGACAGTTCACTCCGTTCCGTTACTTCCATTATAATCCAGACATTAACCAGACATTGAGTAACTGGCCCTAAGCTAGGCACTAACAGCGAACAAATCCATCTGATTTGTTCGCGCAGCATTTCGCCACTAACGTCGCACAAATCAGATCGCACTTGAACTTCAGCGAGATAAATATTTATGAGCGATGAAGCGGATGATAGGGTTGCATGTTTGGTTATTTATGCATGAAAAAACAAAAGAAAAAGCATAAAACGGAGGACGGGTACAAGTGAACTGTTTTTAAATAGAACAAAAAAAAAACAATATTATTATTCCGTACATGACAAGAGAGGAGCAAGAGCATTGTTTGTCCTCCGTTTGCCCATTGTTAGGTAGGATTTCCTTCCCCGCTTTATGCATACAAAGACTCTGGATATGAAGAGCCTTGAAAATAAGCGAAAACAAGTATATATGTACATTCCTACATACATATGTACATGCAACCATCCATATGTACACATGTAAGTAGATGTATAACAGCGTAAGAAACAGCATAAAGGTCTGATTATGCATTCTTCGCACAACCATTTGTACCAGTGCAATAGAAAAGTAACTTAAGAAAATGTGAAGCGAAATCTAAACTCAACAGATCACTAAGTTTTTAAAAGTTCTGCTAATTTCTGGGTAATGGAATACATACAACATACATACAAAGTACATACGAAATTACAGTTTGAAGTTTATGCGAAGTTGTGCGAAGTATGCATAATTAGACCATTACAATGCGCAAACAGAATATAAACAATAGCAAAGGGTGCAATAACTGTGTACATACAAAGCTAAAATTCTAACAATAGTTTACTACCGTTAACTGAAAAAAAAATATTTAAAATGCAAAATTACACTTAATTTTCTAGTATATTCTTCCAAAGAATCTTCCATCGTCGAAAAGCCCTCATGCGGCAATTCTTGGTCCCGCAAGAATTCTAAATTTTTAAAGTACCACAACGTGGGAACATATACATCTTCAGAGCCTGCTCTAGATTTCTCACTTTTCCGAATGTTTTGCAATTCCCGGCTGTAGAAGGCTTGTATGCCCTGATATTTTTTAAAGTTTCTATCGTGGCAATTTTGTCCACTTCCCTCAACTTCTCCAACAGTTTCTTCCATAATTTTTGCTTTAATTCCTATCTTTATATTTTTCACTTTTACTTTGCCAAATCGCAACTTCTCCCTTCAAAATTTAAAAATAAAAACAAGTCTTCTAAAAATCGCTTATTTGCAATGTCCCGCCATGTGCTCACTTCAATGGTTCAAATTACTCTGATATGACGAAATGGGTTAAAAGCAAACTGATAAGACGACATGGTTAATGTTCGGGAACAGCGCCACTAACGCGTTATAACGGTCGAACAAGTCAGAAGAGTTTGAATATTTTCAAATCTGTCTGATTTGTTGGCGCACCACGCCACTAACGAGAAAAATTACCGATTCTAGTATTTCTTTGGAAATGTACCCTTCATAGAGAGGTGATGTGAAATTTTGTATTTATGACTTTTACTATTCCCTTTCTCAGCGCAACATGTTTTTTAATCAACTGTCACCGTGACTTTTTTCCACCTTCGTTCATATAGTCGAAACACTGTGGGTCGCTTAGAGAAGCAACCTCTCGGTTATTTCAATAATGCGGGTTCGTTTTCATTTCATTTTTGATTTATTGGTTTATCCTATATCAAGAAAAGATTTACGAATACAATTGTACGAAAAGATGTATCGGAGGGGGTTTTCTGGTCAGGTGCATGATAAAATTCATTAAGTTTCTTGCAACGACTCTGAAGATGAGTTATTTACGAATCGATGAATGGATTATATATATGTAGAATGCAATTCTATAGTAATCCTTAACGCCCTCAGTATCGAAGTTGCATCTGCATGTTCGACTATATGCGTGTTCGACTACTTACTTGTCCGTCACTGGTTCAAATTCAGTAGCACGTACGCTATTTTTTCTTTAGTTTCCTAGGACAAAAAGATGCATCCTGGATGGTACACCGCCTAAAGCCGATACAGTCCTGGTGGCATGAATATAATTATGTGACCATTTCTGTCTGGGAAATGACAAGTGCTGTTCGCACTAACAAAATGAAAAGAAGTACATACGTGTGCATAAAATATTATGGCGGCAAGTGTTGCTTTTTGCGAATGCCTTAATACGCACAAAACAACTCTTGCCGCTATAATATGGTTGATCCTGTATTCCTCGGACTAAATCGAGTAAAACTCAAAAAAAAAAATAAAAATTCGCTCAGAGCGAGAGAGTAACACTGCAAAGTACGGGATCGCGTTCTAGTAAAAAATGGTAATTTCTGACCACTTCAACATAACCTCCAAATTTTGCTTGTAAAATTTTGCTTATTTTGTAAGTAAAAGCACTCAGCCTCACACATGTAAATAACCAAACATACTTACAAATTCATTAGAATCCACTCAAACCAGTTATTAAATTTTTTATAACATGCATTAGCAAAGTGCACTTTTCCTTTGTTTATAATTTCGTTGTCAAACACTTGACACATTTACCAGAATTTACCAGCAAAAAATGTTTGGACTAAAACTGGCAACTTTTGACAAAGAGAGGATCTTTTTTAGTATCTCATTTGTCCTCTCAGTTGCCAGAGAATCGAGTACGGGATCAATTTCCAGTAAAATCTGGTAAATTCTGGTAAAAAAAGGTATGTTCAGACTCATACGGGATCAAAACTAATATTTAGTTTGGCTCTTTCGCTTTTTGAAATAAACATCATACCAAAAGTTAGAGTCAAAACATATATTAAAAAATTATAACTTAAATTGGTTTAAAAATATTTAAGAAGCGTACGTCAGACACTTGCATGTGAACATTAAGATTTGCGGATTCTTATATGTATTTCTAAAGAACCTTTTAATTCTTCAACTTTTAATGGGATATTTATTGCAATAGGGAAGATTTACGTCACAATAAAAATTTCACATTCATTCTCACATTGAAGTGTATTTATTGCTTACAGCGGATGGTATGCTAGTTTTCCAGTGTTTTTATTGTTTTTCCTTCGCGTTTAGTTTTTCTGATTGTCAACCCACTGAATTCATAGCATAAATTTACTACTTTTAACAAGAAATGTATACTTTAATAAAAGTGCATAAAGCTGAAACTAACTTTAGAGTAGACTTTATTTCGACTGTGAATATGTCACATAATTTTCTATAAGTTATTAAATGGTTTTTATATAGATATTTTAGATTTTAATCGAAATGAACTATTAAACGCGTAACTTCTTACGATTAATTGCAATTTATAATCGGATGTTTCGGTTATGCATTTGATCAATTAATCGATTATAATTTTGTTTTGCCATCACTAACGAAGACACTTGGCACTTACGCTGTGTTTCGAGAAATGCCTTGTAAAGTCCACTGCAGAGTAGCGGCTCGGGTAGATCCCGCAGGAATTCTTTAAGTAACGTTGCAACATCGTGTGGACAGGTTTCGTCGTCGATATTTGTAACCGAATTTTTATCAAAGTCTTCGCGCATCTAGAAAGTAAATTTATTTACTCAGACATTGAAAATCAAAGCGGCTATTAAAAGACTGTAATTTAAAAGAATGTTATACGCTACGTTGAGAAAAGTCGAAAACGGTTTAAAACGCTTCAGTACATGCGCTAGCAAAAAAATTGCCTACCATTTGTGATTATCAGAACAATTAAAAGATTTATCTAATTCGTGCATATCTGCGGAGTATATTTCTGTGGTCATAAGCAATAACCGCCTAAGTCGACTTAAGAAATAATTGAGTTATATATGCTATCGTATTCCTCAACTACTATTCCATGTGCATGTGAAGTCCCGATCTCGCCAGCTAGGCTATTTAAATGTTATAGACGAACATATTTTGGTTTCCCCAAAAGGTTAACATTACAATCCAAATGCTTAAAACGTTTTTTCTCGTTTCGTTTGAGGTTTTTCGACCTAGGCGGTTATTGCTTATAACCACAGACTCGTTCTTCAACACCCTACAAATTTCCTTCTTGAGTATCAAATGCACAATATTATTTTTTTCAAAGTTAGCGTTTGGTTTTTGGAGTTCGTCTTTACTTCAACTATGAATAGTATGCCCCAATGACTTTGTTATGTGGTCTCGAATGTTGGGTTATTTTTGCAGAGTTTTATTTTTGGAGAGTTATGGAAAGTCAAAATCAGTAAAACTAGCGTTAAAGAATTGCATTCGGCAACCCTACTTTCATGTCAAATATAAATCCGGGAGTGCATCATTAACATCAAACTACAATAGCACAGTAGCAGTGGCAGATTTTTGAAATCAACTGATTTTTAGAAACTGTGAATGAAGGGACACAATGCAGCCGTGGGCCGTCAGGGAATACTGATATCTGGGATCCAAGAGACGAAGTTGCACAGCAACCCAACCTCGTTGAGATGGGCTGAATGCAATGTGCACCGTCGCAATCGTCAGCGAATTTTAAATACTCGGAGTGAGCTTCGACAGCATACTCTCTTTCTCGGCGCACACAACCACAATTGCCAATAAAGTACAGAGCCGCAACAAAGTCCTCAAATTGCTAGCAGGCAGAACTAGGGGAAAATACCAAGAAACGTTCAACATCAGGAGGCATCTCCACGAACTGAAGGATGATGTTCAGGGCTGTGTACAACAACCACTGGACCCAGGGCTGCACATACTGGTAATTCACAAGGGAGATCGTTACCACTTACACAGACTCCCATTCTGTGAATACCGTCGTAAGAGTCGCATCACCAACTGTGGACGATTGTGATCTTCAACTGTCAAAAGAGATGCGCATAAAAAAGGATATGTAAACATCTAAGTAGGAGATACAAAATTATAGTTTATGGAGCTATTACTGAGCCACATTTCATATACCGCTCAACCACTTTATTCATAACTTCTGACACACATATTGCAGTGCATGGGGTTTAGTCGTTGCGCTGGGTATGCAGTTACAGTTGCACGACTATACTCAATCCCGACTCTTGCGTCCTCGTTCGCGCACTCTGGGAAACGTGAGCAACCTATGTGCAAGATTCGGAAGCCAATCCTAGTGAAGCATTGAGTCACGTCAGAAAGAGAAGGAGACTCGGTGAGGCCACTCCGACCTATTCGATTTAAAGGCTCAGTGAAGTCTGCAGCATATGTTCACCAGTAGGTGCCGGGCCCCGAAATGCAGTACTAGGTTCAAGCATAAAAAGATACTTCAAGCTACGTGGTAGTCTGCAGATCGAAAAACGAGAAACCAAATCGATCATGTTGTGAGATACGGAAGGTACGCTTCCAGTATTTTAGATGTCCGTACACTCCGAGGCCCAAACATCGACTCGGACTACTACCTTATTGCAGCCAGGATACACACCCACCTCTGTGCAGAAAAAAATGTGGACCCAAAACTACAAGAAAGCTTAACTTCGAAAAGCTGCAGTCACAACAGGCGGCCAATGCAATCGTTACTCGACTCTCATACTTACTCTCAGAGAGCACTTTTCAATAAACCGACATATGCGAGCAGTGGAACCACATTTCCCGTTCATTAAGTACCACCACCGAAGAAGTAGTCTGATTTCAGCGAGCCCGAAAGAACAAGTGGTACAATGAGGAGTATCAAGAAACTGCAGAGAAAAAAGATACCGCCTATAGGGCCACGCTGGGATCGGTCGCAACGCGAGCCATTTTGGATCGTAATAGGGAGCTGAGGATGGAAGCGAGACGTATTTGCCACAATAAAAAGAGAGAGACAGAAATACGAGAGTGCGAAGAGCTTGAAATGCTGGCCGACAGGAAAAACGCCCAAATAGTAAGGCAACTGACGGCCAGGGTGAACTCTTGTAAGAACACAATGGCGAACTACTGATTGATGTATAGAACGTACTTAAATTATGGAGGGAACACAATTCCACTAAAAGGAGGTGCCTATACGTCGCGATATCTGCAGTTGGCATGCCCGTGAAACTGATACGGCTGTGTAAAATGACGTTGAGCAAAAGCACCAGCTCCGTGCGAACTGGGAAAGAGCTCTCCGAGCCGTTAGCTACCAAACGGGGTTTCAGACAGGAATACTCCCTTTCCAGCAAGAGCTTAAGAACTGAACCGCTCAGGAACAATTTTATACAAGAGCCTGCGATTTCTGGCGTACGCCGATTACATCGACATCATCGGTAACAAGAACCGCGAAGTCTGTTCTGCTTTTTCCAAAATGCAAAAGGAGCCAAGCGAATGGATCTTGCGGTCAACGAGGCTAATACGAAATATCCCCTGTCATCAAACAAACAGTCAGTGCATTCGCGCCTTGGCACCCACGTCACTGTTGACAGTTATAATTTCGAGAAAGTAGAGAATTTCGTTTACTTTGGGACCAGAATTAACACGGATAATGATGTCAGCATTGAAATCCAACGCAGTATCACTCTTGCTAACAAGTGCTACTTTGGACTGAGTAGGCAATTCAGGAGTAAAGTCATCTCTCGACGTATGAAAACCACACTCTATAAGTCACTCATCAAGCCCGTGTTGGTTTATGGAGCAGAAGCATTGATAATGACAACATCCGATGAGGCGGCTCTTGGAGTATTCGGGAGAAGGATTTTGCGGAAGATTAACGGGCCTTTACGCGTTGGCGAGTACCGCAGACGATGGAATGATGAGCTGTATGAGCTTTACAACGACATGGACATAGTGCAGCGAATACAGCGGCTCCGATGGCTTGGCCATGACGTTCGAATGGACTCCGACACTCCAGCTCTGAAAGTAGTCAACTCGGAACCCGCTGGTGGTAGCAGTAGAAGAGGGAGGCCCCCACTGCGATGAAAGACCAAGTGGAGAACTACTTGGCTTCACTTGCCATTTCCAATTGGCGTCAGTTGGCACAGTAGAGAAACGATGGGCTTGCTGTGTCGAAATCGGCCAAAATCGCTTTGGCGGTTACAGCGCCAAATAAGAAGGAGAAGAATACACACAGATAAACTTCAAAAAATGCAAACTAGAGGGGTGGGACTACGGTGACTGATTCGGGTTTTTCCAAACCGCTTTCCACTGGCTTTTTTGGACATCTATGGGCGGTTTTTTTAAAACTTGATTCTTCGAATATCGAGCCGGATTTTTTCATCGAACAATCCGGTTTTTTCATTTCATACAAATCTTGACTCTCGATTTATGTTTAGAGTTTTTCGAAGTTTTCAAGTCTTTTTCCAGTGCATGAAAACTTCTAAATAGTTTTAAAATTATATCCTAGCTTATTTGGGGATGAACAGTATATCATATTTAATTCCAATAAATGAATGTTTGGGGCTTAGACGTTATCTACGTATTTGGCAGAGCTTCTCCTCCAATATCGCGAGTGGCAGTAGGTACATCTAAGTACTTGGGTACGGCGGAAAATACGAAAAATGTCAGAAAAAATGCAACAAAGTGTAAAAAAAGATTTTAATTTAATTTCTTTTGATCTAAAACAAAAAACTTATTTTGCGTTGCTCTTTTTTAAATAAAAAGTGTCTTTACTGTCATTAGTTTTATTGTAATTTTTGGTCATAGCTTCATACCAAGGTAAGCATTTCCACTGTATGAAAACTATGTAAAATAAAACCAGTTTCGAATAACCCGAAAACTGGTGTTGAAAAAAAGGCGAATAATCGAACACCCTATGTGGGACATACACTTAGGTCTCTTTGTATGCGGCGTTTTTATACGGTTTTTCAAACCATTATTTCATAGTAGCGATTTTGAGAGTTTTTATTACTTTTTTCAGTGTGTAAGAGGCAATGCTTCTGATAAGTAATTTGTCTTTGTATTCTTACATAATTCATGTATTCATTGTGGTATTTTTATTTATTTTTGGTTAAAATACAGATAAAATTTTATTTATTTCATTAATGTTCAGTTTTACAAGGAATAATAGGTGTTGAAATGAAGAAATAAATATTTTTTTTACTTAATAATGCCTCACTGAATTTTCTTATGCGGATTTTTAGGATTTTTTACATGGAGTATCTGAATTTATGCGGTTTTTGAAAATGCTGGAACGCATCCCCTGTTTTTGTATTAAAGTAAAGAACTTTTTTATGCGGCTTTCTGAGGAACGCATGTACCGCATAAAAAGAGACCTAAGTGTACATATATATAACTCAAGATACGATAACAGCATATCGTCATTACTGAGTAATTTAAACTGGTTAAATGTAAAACAATTAATTTCATTCAACACAATGAAAATTATGTATAGTCCCTGCAGAGAAAGATACTAGTAGTGAACTAGAATGCTGCCAGTTTGCGTTTTCCCCCAACTGGTTCACGTTGTATCCTTTTTCAATATAAGCCACTGGTATTTTTAACATGGCGGTGTCATAGGAGATGTCAATTTTCCGCTCTAGCACATACTCGTTAATGAACTGGTATTTTTACTGGCTGGTTCGGCCTTTCACTGCGGAGAACAGGTATAATTATAGTCCATGACGAACTGGTATGACTTCCCCTTTGAATACGAGTTTATAAACTAGAATTTCTACCACCT